AGTTTAAAAAATATTTCCTAGAACTTTTCAAAAAAATTGCAAAGATGCATCATTTACAGCATTGCATTCTCTGACATTTTATGAACCTTTGCGAATTAATTTATAACTCAAAAATATATTCTACGAGTAGACAAAAGAGTGTACTTTAATTTAATATGAGTTTCATTAAAATTTATTCACTCTTTTAGTATAAAAAATATTCACCAAAACTTTTCATACAGATTCATATATAAATATATAATATATAAATATATCACGTTTCTTGTGGTCGACGAAACACTAGCAGGCAATTAAAAGATGTTCCTCGACTCGACACGACGCGAAAAAAGATAATAAAAGATAAAAAAAAGAAAAAAAAAAGGAATTAAAAAGAAAAGAAAAAAAACGTTGAACGTTTTGAGCATATCGCAAGGCTTTGGTGACTCGAACCGTTTAAGAGTAGACCGTTTCCGTTCACACGTGCGTAACGACGCACGTTGTGGGTCGCGCAAGGACGCCTCCGCCGCGAAAAACAAAGAAGCGGATTTTACCAGCTAGCTAGCTAGCTAGCTTACTTACTTACTTACTTACTTACTTACTTAGTTCAAGAGAGACCTAGAGAAAGAAAGAGAGAGAGAGAGAGAGAGAGAGAGAGAGATAGAGAAAGGGGGAGGAAGATTTAAAGCCGTCTGAGCATTCGTACGTACCACGGTGGTAGGTAGATGATATCGTGTACAATTTAAGTTATGAGGAATGATCATCGATTTGTCAACCCTTTAAAAATGGAAATAGTCTAATATTTTGTTCCTTTTTTTTTTTTTCTTTTCTCTTTTTCTTATTAAATATCTTTTAAATTAATAAAGTTAAATTTATTCACATATAGAGGGTGGGCAGGAGCGGAAAAAAAAATACATCGTATTATCTACTTCGAAACGAATTTATTGAACAATTTATTATAATTATCCAATTTTTTTCATTTGTTCGAATGTGTGTTTATCCTTCGTGTTTTTTTTTTTGTCTTTTCTATCGATGATGAGTTTGTTCGTTGTTAGAAAAAATTTATGTAAAATCGATTAAATGTATAAGATTTATTTATCGTATATAATTATGGTTTTATTTATTGTTAATTAATTTCATATAAAATATGAAGAACGATATATTTTATTATTGATATTGATTGAACTAACGTTTTAGAAATTAGATGGTAATAGATTGAAAATATATGATAAAATAAGGATTTGGTATGACGCCAAAATATAAATCGTTGGATGATCGATTATTATACTTTGATATTATGGATGCAGTACGACGAGAACTAGAATAAAACATGCGATGTCGCTTTGCCACGAAACGTAAATCATAAGGGTCTCTCGTACAAGTAACGTAGACACGGGGGATGAAACAAAAAAAAAAGAAAAAGATAAGTAAGAAAGAAGAAGGATGTATCTAAAAATAGTATTAGAATCTTCTGTTGAAATCTCGATTCTTGGTGGAAGAAAGAGAGACAGAGAGAGAGAGAGAGAGAGAGAGGGACGTTACGGTTAGATGAACAAACGCAACGAATCCGTTTCGGTCTAGTTTTCGGCGAATCTCAAGTTTGGTTATTTACGAATATTGTATTTTACAATCCGTTAACTGGTAGTTTGACCATAGGTAGGAAACGCTCGCTTGCTCTCGACGAATTTTCATTTCCGTTTTCATCCTCCGGTTAATGTTTTTACTCAAAGCGTTTGAGTTCCCTACTTTAGTCAAAAAGATACATTTCCACGCACCGTAAAATCCTCTTTTCTTTGGTAACAGTTCGTAAAACAGTATCCGCCGTACGCGGAAGTCAAGTTCTACCTACCTATATATTCCTTAGTATTTCGATTTTTAGTAAAACGAAATGAAACGGAAGATTTATTTAAATTCATTTGATTAATTTCATAGTTTTATTTTTTTCGTTTGATTTGATACGATCGTGTTCACTTTAAACGCGTGCACCTGTTACCCAAGTATTTTCTTTTTCCATTCGTTCAATCGAGTATATCGTTTAGAAGAAAAAAAAACATTTCATTCTAAGTTTATACAGACACGCGAGCATCGCGTCGAAATAATTCAATTCTATCAATCTGACCATCCCAGTCATCAATTTATTTTCATCTTCCTTGAATACTGTTATAAATAAAATTTACAAAATTAAATACTATTACTCTCGTCGTCATTTGAAATTAAACGATTTATGAAAAAAATGAAATATTGAATCACGCAAATGTTCGTACAATTGTACTTCATCTCAATTTGATTTGATATCATATTTTGTAACAATAATTATTGGAATAATTTTTCCAACTAGAAAATAATAATTATCTCGAAAGATTTTTTTCGACTAATATATTTACTTCTCAACGTTTTATTTAGTCGGTCAGATTAGAAAGAGAGAGAGAGAGACGTGATGGTGACGTTTAAACACGAAAATTCTCAGCCTGATGGCTCTCTCTCTATCTCTATCTCTCTCCCTCTCCTTCATACGACGCGTTCGTTTAACTTTAGATTCGGTTAAGCCCAATTAGAGTCACGTCACGTTAACGAGCATCGAAATAACGTCGCCATTAGCTTGATGTAACGATTACTCGGCTTGAAAACTAGCTAACGAGCTGAAGACTGGATTATAGTTAGTATATTTACCATTTTTTTTCAAATGTTATTAACCAAAAAGATAAAGAAAACAAAAGGAAGAAGACATCAATTTAAAATAAATCATATTAACAATTTACAAGTATAATTAATGTAAAAAAAAGTGTTAGATTTATCGAACGCGTAAGTAATATAAACGTTATAAAAGTTATAGTAGGGGGATGAGAGTAATGTCGGTAACATATGAGATAGGATCATCGTTAACGAACCACGACGTTGCGTTAGCAGACTCGATGTAGCCCACCCAACAACGTCCAAACCGTGTATTTTTATATCCCCATACTCGCGAAAGATCTTAAACGTGTTTCCTATTAGCTACTTACTACGTCGAACGAAAAATTCTTATTATAAAAGAATAAGAATAAGAAGAAGATACCATTAAAGAAAGATCAGCTGTTTATAAAAAGAAAATAACTTCTGAAAAAAACCAATAAATTAAATAATATCCAAATAAGATATATTAAACCAATCTAACATTATCGAATTAGAAATAGGATAGGAACATCCCCTTCTCCACCCCCCCCCCCACTTTCCCCTTTACTGACGGGGATCGAATTCACCTAGAAGAAGAGGTAGGTTTTCAGACGGAGAACTGTTGTGTAGAAGAAGGTCGTGAAAAGTGTGAGAGAGTAGCAAGATGGCGGATAGGCACGAATAGGCGGCGTCCAAACAACCTCGTTGGCTGTAGCATTGGCCAATGGTTGAGCGAGGTTGGAATAACTCGACTAAACGCCACGACCCACCACCACCACCACCATTACCATCACCACCACCATAACCATTCGCATAAGTGTTTGCTGTTGCTGCTGCTGGTTGAAGCCACAGGAACGTTTATGAGAAGTTGGGACAACGACGACAACGACAACGACGACGACGACTGTGAACAACGAGGAACGACACACACGCGAGGGGAGGAATGCGACGAGGGATGGGAACGGGGGCAGGGGGCGGGAAGGGGCCTGAAAGGGGGAGGAGAGACGAATTAAAATGCGCCCGACGAGTCTTCGCCAGTCACCCGTCGACTCGTGCTCGATAAGGTCGATGTTCGATACTATACCTCTTTACTTCTATCATTATCTACAGATATATGTATATGTATATGTATATGTATACTTCTATCATTTTCCGTTCAATATTCCCGTGGACTGGTGATGTCTGTCTCTCTCTTTCTCTTTCTTTCTCTCTTTCTGTCTCATTCACTCACTCTCCGTGTGTCTAAATTGGATCCATGTGATATTAAAAATCGAATGATGAATCAATGTGTGTAATAATATTATTTAGTAGAACAATGGACAAAGTTTAATCAAAGTTATGTTGTGTCATTTTTTGTTGTTACAAATCCGTGCTAAAATAATACAAGATTTATATATATATATGTATATGTATGAATTGTGTGTTTTAAAAAAGTATATTTATCGAGATTATTAACAATCAAAGTTAGTGATGGGGAGATAGGATAATTCATGGATTGAAATGAATTCGTCGTTAATTGAAATGACAAATGATAATTATTGAATGATATTGAAAATATATATATATATAACGATGAGAATATTAATTAGGTAAAAGATTAAAAGGTAAATAAAAATACGAACATGGACGTAGATACGAATATCGAAGAAACGGAATTGGACGTTGGATCGGCGAGCGACGAATTGGAAACGTCGATCGCCGAATCAAAAATCGCACGACGACCAACGCCAAAACCGTTCACCATAGAGAGCCTAATAGGAAGTTGCGCGGGTGCAAGGGGTAATTGTGCGAGTGACATTGGTATATCGAAAAATGATAAAATTCATTTTAACGATGAGGACAGTGAAAGGGAAAGGGAATATCTTTATCAACGGCATTATCTTGCGACGGCTGCTGCTGCTACTGCATTGCCATCAGGTTGGTTGATTGATTGATTGATTGTTTGTTTGTTTGTTTGATAATTAAACGATAAGAAATTTTGTTTAACTACACCGTTGACTGTTACAGTAGTCTATCAATGATCAAATTTTTCAAATAATTTTACACGATATTCTTAAAATTGTGACCACCCCACCCACTCCCCCATTACCTCGACCCCCTCCTCCCATAGCTAAACATATTAAAACTTTTCTTAGGGATGGGGGCGAGGGGTGGGGTTCAGTCAACGCGTGTTATTAATTTGAAATGAAGTATCACAATGAAACGATTAAAAGGGGGAATCCGTCGTTGCATTTTTAGGTTTCGGTGTACCGTTGAGTTTATACGGGGCTTGGCTACCCATGCGAATGTATGGCGGTGGCGGCGGCACTGCTTCCGGTGTCCCAATGTTACCACCACATTCCTCAGTTAGTTATCCGTCTCATCAGGATTTGCATCAAAATCGATTAACTCAACATTTGGGTGTCGGTTCTAACAATCATCTTCAGGGTGCTGCTTATCCAAATACATTTCATCGATCTATCAATCAACGTGGATCGACCAGTTTCACGGACAGCGACGATGATGGTAGCATAGATTCACCACCATCTCCTGTTCATGATCTCTCCAAATCTAGATTAGGTGAGTTTCGTTATATTATATTATTATATTTTAACAACACAGATGTTATTTGTTACGAACCGATCAAAGTGTAGACACCCGATATCAATTCTCAATCATTGATTTAGAATTTTTAACGACAATTTTAACACATTTATTTTCAACTTACATACCTATACTTCACACATTTATATTTTATTAATTAAATAATAATAAATTAAACGACAATGGACAAAGAGAAACAAACGCGTTTAATGATTTTTCAATCCCGAGAAAAAAACGCCGTAAACGTCGCGTTCGAGGAAAAAAAATAACAAAATAAAAACCCTGTGTTCTAAAATTATTATAAATCGATGATTTAAAATAATATACTAAAAATAAGACAAAAAAAATCACAAAAAAAAAAAACAAATCGTTGTTACTTCTTTTTCGTGGAATGTCATTTGAAATTCGGCCAGGATTCATCGAGTACCGTATTATCACACGCGTGAGCGTATGTATTTAGGTATACGCGACCCCGCAAGCTTTATAAGAGGCTTCACGATAAAATAATTTATGCACGCAACCATGTATCTCGTTCCCTTTGCCGGCCGATTCGATCGTATGGTACCGCATCGTAGAAGATACGTTCATGGAATTCGTAAACGCTCGTTAATCCGATGCGATTTCTCGCATTTCGCGAAATCAAACACACGTGAGGGATGAGGGGGTGGGGGCTGGGGTAGAAGAGGGGAGGAGGAAGGAGGAGCATGTCTTTTCTCCCCCTCTACTCCCCCTTCTACCGTTGCCGGTCACAATTCTTTTTTCGTTTGACCACCACATCGTCATTTCGTATTCCACTTAAAAAAAAAAAAAAAGAAAAAAAAAAACCTTCAAATTTATTTCCCACAACCCCGGGATTTTATCAATAAGTTTTTACCGTTACCCTCTCGCCACCCCCCTTCCTCCTTTCACATTTATCTACCGACAATTTAAATAAGAAAGTACCGAGTAATAATAAAAATCTTTCTTTAATTTACACACACACACATATATATATATATATATATATATATATATCTATATATTATTTTCACAATGAGGAGAGCATTTAAAAATGTAACTATTAGGGAATAAAAATACTTGGTAATATTTTTCCACGAATCGAATCGAATGGCTGGGGTGGGAGGCATAGGGAGGGGTAGAATTCGCAAACTCTCGTTGTTAATCAACGTTATGAACCAAATTTAATGCTGGATGATATCTTCGTGAACGGATTATTGAGTGAAATGTCTTGAATAGGAAGAAAGAAAGAATATCAAGTTAGAACAAGACGAGTTTCTCTCTCTTTATCTTGATAAAAAAATCATTCGCTTACTCGAATAGAATCGTGACCCAAATCTCGAACTCGGTTCCTTCTTAAACCACCCCCTTTACGCCCCTCTTAAATTTTTCATTGATTCCTGATAAAAAAACGCAACCGAATCGAACGTAATTAGGTATATACCTTTATATATATAGTAATATGATAGTTAGAGTTTCATTGAAATATCAAAATATTGATAATTGGATAAATTAGGAATAATTGAGCATCTTAAAAATAGATAATATATTTAACAATCTAGTGAGAATCAGTTCATATAGGGATCGTCTAGAAAATTCGTGCCAATTTGTAATGTTTAAAAATTTAAATTCAACGATTAGGATATTCTACGATAACTATTTTCAATGAAATTATATTTGGAAAGTTAATATACGATAGAATATTATTTATTAACGGACAAACATATAAGTAAGTGTATTAATCATTAGATAGATTGGAGTAAAAATTCGTGATGATATTTTTCAAAGATAAATGATGCTTGTAAATATGTAATAATTTATATTTTTTGAAATAATTAAAGTATATATAATATACGAAATACTTAGAGTTTCATTGAAATATATTANTACTCGACCATTTTCTGATCCTAAATCGAAACAAATTGAACAATTATTATTCTTTACTATCTTTTTCGTTATTCATTTTTTTTTTTTTTTTTTTTATGATAGAATATAAATATGTGTGTTGTATAGAAATTCATAATGCAATTAACAAAGTTCACATCGTATAACTTCGTATAATGTATGCTATACGAAGTTATTACGTTTGGAAATAATTAAAGTATATATAATATACAATATACTTAGAGTTTCATTGAAATATTATATTAACAAACACACATATATGTATTAACCATTAGATAGATCGGAATAAAAATTCGTGATGATATTTTTCAAAGATAAATAATATTAGTAAATGTATAATAATTAATATAATTTATTGAAACGGTCACAAATTACGTGGTAATCGAAATAATTCTCGGAAAATGTAATAGTATTGAAAATGTTCAGTATATTTAGATGAATTAAAGAAAGATATGTATATAAGGTGGTTCGAAATTCGAAACTCACAGAAGATTATAGCGCGTGGGATCACTGATCACGTATTTCCGAAGGTACCGGGGCCCGAATCAACGATCGACGGTATCCGCGCTCTTTTATTCGTGGTCGGTCACTTTTTATTGATGTACCGCCGACCAACTTAATTTTGTATGCACGACGAAATGACTTCGGGGAAATTGTCATCGGTCATTTATGACACACAGTGAACGAAGTCTTGCGTTCGTTACGATGATAATGACGAGACTACTCTCTCTCTCCCTCTCTCTCTCAAATTAATCTTTTTGTTCAAAATTCAATATTCAAAAATAAATTAGCCAAATACTTGAATTTATTTAACACTAAACCTAGCACTCGCGGTTCTAATCAACACTTTATGTAATTTATACAAAATTCGATGAAAATGCGTAAAACAAAATGTACATTATTCATTTCTAAATAAAATTAAGTTATATATTATTCAGTATATATATTCAATTGGTTAGAATTTTATTATATATTAAAATGTAAGATTTTTTTTTCGAACACTCACGATATATGAAGTGTCGGTAGGTTTAATGTTAAACAATTCATTTGTTAATCCTTTTCTTTCTTTCCAAATTTGTCATCATTAACGAGACAATTGCACGAAGTATTTTGGATAAGTTAAAAATGCCATTATTAAATCGTCTAACCATTTGTCCCTATTCTCTGCTTAATTAAAATGTTTCACCAAAAATTGGATTATTGAGATGTATTAAAAAAATTGTTAACAAGTATATAACTTTAAATTCATTCTTTTAAATGAATATCCCCCCCCTAATTGCACTGTTGTTTGAATCATTCGACGAGGAAGAAATGAAATATTATTTAGTTTCGATTGCATTGGTATGCAAGACACAAGGGGAGGAACAAACAAAGTCTTGCGTTCGCGATGACGATAATAACAAAAAATGATTGTATCACATTAATTATCAATACTGTTCTAATCTAAATTTGATATTATTGTATGACGTATTATTTTTTGACGTATAAAACGAATCACAATATGATGACCTTTAAATTCTAGACAATTAATTAATCTATCTCATTAATTTTATAATTTGCATTGCATTTCTTATTTTGTATCGAACGAACAAAAGCCAGTGGGACCAAGTGGGGGACGGGTCGGGTCGGGAAAAAAATAAAATATTATTTCTTATAATTATTTCTTTTTGGTATGCAAAACGGACGACTTTTTTTTTTTGGAATGGCTCATTAAGGATTTACAACGGCATTCTGACGTTGAAGACGACGAATGCAATTATGCATGGTTGGTAATCGATCCGTTAATCACGTATGCAAGCACGGAAAATTCGGGGAAAGTATTTGATATTTGTAACACGTTTGAAGAATTAACAAAAAAGAAACGAAAAAAAAAACAACAACAACAAGACTGGAATAAAAGTGTAACGAGACAAACAGATAATAAGAAAAATAATTATCTTTTCCTGCAGCCCCCTGCACCGCCCTGTCCCACCACCCCCATCACCCCCCCTTACAATTGTTCGATTAACACGAGAAACGTGAAATCAATTTTGTGCGGGAGACCATTTGATGAGAAAAGATACGTGTAAAAATGAATCGATTTAAAATCGATGTCCCAGATCGGGTTTACAATTAAACGTGGGATTCGATTAGAAAACAATTTGATAAAGAACGGGAAGATACGGGATCATCGTTGAATATTCTCGATCAATATTATGAACACGGAGTGCTCGACGAAGCGTTGAAAGAGTTATTCATTCGATGCGGCTTTCAAACGCAAACAATGTATGAATTAAAGAAGGGATTATCTCGATGAATAATGAAACATGAAACACTCTTGGACGTAATAAAAATAAAATGAATAAAAAAAAAACGAAACGAAACGAAACAAAACGAAATGAAATAAAATTAAATGAAATGAAATGCAAAAAAAAACAAAAATATTATCACTCGTTAACGTTGATGTGCTCGTTACAAAAGTAATTTAAACGATTAATCGAATAATTTTTTGTTTCGTCCAATAGCTATATAAATTTATCAATAATTATCAAACGAGATTAATTAAAAATCGTTCGAAATAAAAATCCTCTTAAACATCATCATCCAACGAAAAATTCTAAATGCAAATGAAATCATTGATAAAACACACACAAATTTTTAATTAACAAACATTTGACACCATTTGTCTATACGATTATTATTATCATCGTTAAACGTTTTCTCGATATAATGTTTCATTATTTTTTAATTCATTAGAAAAACGATTACACTCCCCATTCAAATGTTATACAGCGAGAAAAATAAAAACAAAAAAAATTGCAGGGGAGAAAGAAAATTCTAAAAAAATTCTTCTCGTTACCATAAAACGAACGAAATATCATTATCATGTTATATTTAAATAGAAAACTACTAATACGACGACTAAGGATTATTACTAGAGTATCTTTTATCGTTTACCGATATTAATTAGTTGATTCCCATTAAATGGTGTCGTGGACAACGACTACAACAAAAAAATAACAGAAGAAGGAGGGTGGATGGGGGATGACGACGATGATTCGAAACTGATGAAACGAATAGAATCGATTATCGTT